CATTTTAAGAAATTAGCTAATTTTCAAAAAATCTCCCTGTACTATAGCCCATGCTTTTTTCCAAAAATGGCCCCAAAATCACCTCAAATTTTTATTAAATTTTCTGATACATATTGATGTTCTTATGCTGTGTAGAAAGTTTGAGCTAATTCTGACTTCAATACTTTTCAAGTTATGACCATTTTAAAACTGAATAATGATAATTATTAATAATCATTGCTAGGTTGATTTCATTTGGATCAATCGTGACCAGAGACACTTTGAGTGGTTCATGGAGCTACTGAATGAACTGGAAATGGAACAGAATGAATATGGAACACTAATGGATCGGTTCCTTGATATGCACATGTACATCACATCAGCTTTACAAAGGACTGATGTTAAAGCATTAGGACTACAAATGGCTCTTGATCTGATACACAAAGAAAAGAACATTGATCTTATAACTGGACTGAAGACCAGGACACAGACTGGTAGACCTAACTGGGATAAGGTAATATAGGAGGAGAGAGAGAGGGAGGGAGGGAGAGGGTGAGAGAAGACAGATACGGTGATACTGTATAACTGATAGTACTGGTAGTGTAGTATTACTGGTCTATACTGACAATACTTAATGACTACTATACACCACCAAATGGTACCAACATATATATATAACAACCAACAATATTATAAATAAATAACACAATACACCTGTATATTATATTCCGCCAATATTAGCAGGTGTACATGTACATGTATATGTATAGGATAGGAGTAGTCTGGGCCCCAGCCCCTTCGCTTTGAGAGGAAGGGTCTGGTATCACTAGCATCACCCACTCGTTCCGGCACTGCAGAAATACTGCAGTGACGTCGGCTGCTTCATGAATGTAATTATGACGTAGGCTGCTTTCAATAATAATAATAATAATAATAATCAAATATGGCTGTTTATGCTTCCAAGCTAAAATATGGCTGTTTATGCTTCCAAGCATCTTTAACATCTCCACTAACTTCACTTGAGAGTTTACGGTGATTATACGCTGGTACATTAGGATTTCCACTTAACACTTATTAGTATTTATTATTATTATTATTGTTGTTATAACACTATGAATAATAATATTTCTACTCCAGTACATTGTCATAATAAGTCATTTCCGCATTCCACCAGAACGAGTGGGGGATGCTAGTGATACCAGACTCTAAGCGAAGGGGCTGGGGCCCAGACTAGGATAGGAGCAGTTAGTGTGTGGTTAGTGTCTAATCATTGGGTTACTATATTACACTAGGTCTATATGTTAATGCTGGGGAATAGAATTTAGTTCAACTCTAGCATAAAGCATGAGTCTAAAGGTCAAACCGCCCACACATTTGATTAAAAATTGACGTTACACTGACCTATTGTAGTATCCTCCTTAAGTAATGTACTGATACATGTGTGTGTATTATTAATTATATTGAGTTGTTGGTTAATGTGTTATTAATAGATATTTAAAGAGCTAAAGGAGAGTGGATATGGACCAGTGACAGTATTCTATTGTGGGTCACCAGTACTGGCTAGAGTATTATCAGTGAAGTCTCAATATTATGGATTTAAATTTAGAAAAGAAAACTTTTAGACATTAACAATAATAATGTACTATATACACCAATTTATTGATAATGTATGTTTCTGTTATCGTTATACTGTACATGAATCAGTACATTACATCCGAATAAAATAATTAATTTTTTTTACATTCATTGTGTGGGCGTTATGTAATGGTCATGTGAATTGACCAAATTTGGTCATAATGCTAACAGCACAGACATCATACCTATTACAAGTTATTAATGAACATTCCTCACATGAGTAGTTCAGTGACATGTACTTTTGGCTATATAGTAGCAAGACTTCTCCTCCTCTTCATTCTTGTGTACTCTGTGACCTGCTAGTTAGTCTGTCCCAGGCTATTTAGTACTGCACTGTGATCTTTAATTCAGAATAGTATTTCAATAAAGTGAATTTAGTTTCACTATAATAGTAACTTATTAAAATTAAAGTATTGAAGTTTATGCATAGAATACGTAATGCACAATGTATGTAGAGTACATCATTAGTTTATGTAGATCTATTAAATTAGTTTTATATTCATTGCATGGTTTACTATATATTGTGTTACTTGTAGCTAAAATAAATCATTGATAGATATGTATAGGCTATAAAAAATAGACATTGTTAAACATTGTTAAGGTTTATTAATAGAGAAATAGAGTAGATTTGTAAAATGACCAAATTTGGTTAAAATGCAGTCAGTAGTGACAATACTAACTGTAGTAGAGGAGTGGTACCAATCACTATGTACTGATACTACAGACACTACTTATAGCATATAGTGTTAATGATCCATGAATATAATTCAATGATAGTTCAGGTACACATACACTCACTTCTATTGTACTCTTTACCATTAGTCACTGGATAAAGGAACTACTGGTCTCTAACGTCATTTATAATAATAATAATAATTACAAGATGATTGATGTCTCTCAATGGAGAGCAAGTATTGGACTGTGGAACTACTGTCAAGCTGCCTCCAGTAGACCAGCTAATGGCCGCCACTCTCACTCATTCAAAGCTGCAGTAGACAGCAAGTCAGGCAGTACTACATCAGGAGAGAAGACATCTAAACTGCCAGCAGCTCTGTCTCTTGTTTCTCTTCTTTTATCTTTATTAAGATATATGAAGCTCAATTTTATTTCTCCAACTGGTAAACAAACTAACAGTATATAATATTATCATACAGTGTATTTACAATAGGTATAATTACTGTTACTGTTATGATCCACTGCCTCCAGTCATTAGTCTTGTTTATAGCTACTATTGGGAGTAGCTCTGACCTGATATACTATTTGGTTTTACTTCTCCTCCTCCTCTTATCAGGAGATGTTGAACTCAATCCTGGTCCTATGATTGATGATCAACAATTTTGTTTCTTATTTGCAAAGTATCTCGAACCTCTAGTTGATTGGGAACCATTTGCCCTTTGTCTTCCTGGTGGGATAACACAACTTGATGTTGATATAATTAAAACAAAAGGAAGCTCTTACCTCAGGATGGAGGCATTATATAAGAGATGGTTACAAGTTAATCCTACAGCATCATGGAGAGATGTCATTAATGCTTTGAAACAATGTAAAGAGAATGAACTAGCTAGAACTATTGAAGACAAAGTGACTAATCCAAAGGATATATTAAGGACTCATTCTGTTCAACTTGTTGATAGTATTTCTATTGACATTCCAAGAACAGCATATGCACTGTATGCTAAAGGACTGATACCACAACAAACTAAACAGGAAATGCTTGTACCAGCAGTTGATAATTCGACTAAAGCTGCCAACCTTATGAATGTCATTGAAAAACAATTGGAATCCTCTCTTAATCCAGAGCAGTATCTTATTGATATATGTCATGTATTAATAAACCAACAACATCATACACTAACAGATATTGCTACCTCTATATTACACCAGTTAGGTGAGTGTGTGTGTGTACATTATCAGTGATCAATATAGTCATTATATCTCAATACATTAGGTCAGTCTATACCTGATAATGTCAGTTCACATACTGTACTACCATCACCAGTTGATGATATATCCAATACACCAGTTACTAATATAAGAGGTAATAAATTATTTAATGTGTATACATTGTTTTTATGTATCTTGATCAATAGGTCAGTCTGATGTAGCTAAACCCATTAGTTCAATACCTGATGATGTTCAAGGATATGCTGACAATATGAGACAACACTACAAACACCAACCTATTGTTGCTACAGACTGGCCACCAAGAATTGGAAAAGATTTCTTTGGAAGACTAGCACTAGTAGAGAAACAAGACTCCAGAACACAAGCAGAATCATCTTGGCATCTGCTAAGAGGACAAGTTGATAAAACAGTTAAACTAACTGAAAACAAAGAGATAAGTGTTGAAGATGTCCTCCAACCCACAAATAGTTCTCTGTCTCTCAGAGTAGTAATAGACGGTCCTCCTGGTATTGGGAAGACCACACTCTGTCGTAAACTGTTAAATATGTGGTCTAATGGACCACTTGTACACCAACAGTATGACTTGGTACTTTACTGTCCTTTAAGGAATAGCAAGATAGCTACAGCTACTACACTAGCTGACCTGTTTGTGCGTCAACGTTATGAAGTTCCCATGGTAGCTGAATGGTTTGAGAAGAGGAATGGAGAAGGATTACTGATAATGTTTGATGGTTGGGATGAACTAAGTGAACAACTCAGACAGTCTTCATTAGCTGCTAGTATCATTTGTAAAGAGAAGTTAGATCAATGTTCAGTAATTGTTACCTCTCGTAGCTATGCCTCCTCTTCACTTTTGAAAATGGATACTCTCAGTAGACACGTTCAGGTCATTGGGTTTTCTGAGGAAGAAATATCAACAGTAATTAAACAAACACTTCAAAAAGATACAAAACTAGCACAAGAACTCATTGATGAAAACACTGAACTAGATGAATGGGAACTATCATTAACATCAAATGCAAAATACCAATCACATTTCTCAACTACTCAAAGCAGTAAGGACTCACAACTAGCAGTGAAACTCATTAATGATCTTAAAGTACGAAATGATGTCCAATCATTGTGTTATGTACCACTAGTCTGTTCCATGGTCATCTTAGTTTATTGTAAGGAAGGAGGACACTTACCAACAACACTCACTCAACTCTATGAGAACTTTATCCTACAAACTATCAGAAGACGTGTTGCAAGACATGACATTAACCCACATACTTTAGGTAGTCTTTCTTCATTACCATCACAATTAGCTAAACCTTTACAAGAGATGTGTCAATTAGCTTATACTAACCTGGCTAATACAACAATGACATTCTCTTCACATCAACTACAGTCACTGAGTGAGGCAGTCAAGGAAGACTATCTTGGATTGATGACAAGATTCACAGAATATGATGAGGAAAAGTATCAGTTCCTTCACTTGAGTATACAGGAATTTCTAGCTGCATGGTGGATAGCTAAGCATGAGAAGAAGACAGAGGAAGTGTTTAAGGAACACTTTGATGATGATCACTTTCGAATGTGTCTGAGGTTTGTGGCAGGTCTAACTCACCTAGAACATGAGAGCTATCAACAGTATTTTAACATACAACAACTTGACTTACAGTGTAAGAGGAAACCATTTTTTGGATTTGGGACTTGTCATTTTTCCTACTTCTGCCAGAATCCTGAGATTAAATTTACTAAATCATCGTTTTTTTACAACAATCATATCGAATCTGATAATTTTAACAAATTTCCTATTCTTCTTCTTCAACTCCTGTATGAATCACAGAACACAACATTATGTCAAATATTAGCACAATCCATCAACAACCACTCACTGTGTCTAAAGTGGGATAGAGTATCATTATCATTGTTTGACTGGTTGTGTCTCAGTTATTGTATAAACAATTCCAACACAACATGGAATCACTTGCACCTGGACCAAAAAGACCTACCTAACCAGGATCTATCAGTCTTCACAGCTAGACTAACCAATAACTCACTACAGACCCAGTGTAAGAGACTGGAGGTAAGGTTGGAGAAACCAACTGATGAATTAATACACAAATTATTACAACCATCACTTCTATACAATATTCAGGAATGCTACTGTGTATTATTTTATGGTCAATATGTTTTTTGTCTTGTATTGTTACAGTTCCTCAATCTTCCTCAATTGAAGATACTGCACTTAATAATGAACTATCCTACTATACCAACAGTTGACAATACATACTACACAGACAAGTGCACTGAACTTGAGGAGTATATAGAAATAAATTCAACACTACAAGAAATAGAGATTGGGTATAATGGAAAGAATCAAAATTTAATAACAAGTACCATTATCAGTGTCATTAGAGGAGTAACAAGAAATAAAACAATAACATCATTAAGAATGGATGTTATTAATAATGCTCCTCCTCCTCTACCTGATGGAGTAATAGAGCAGTTACTAAAGGACAACAACACATTACAAGCTCTTTCACTGAACATACCTGATGAACTCCTACCATCATCACTGAATATAGTAGAGGTGAACACACCACTGACTGCTCTAGAGATAGGATGGAGTATTAGTGAACTGATGGCATCATCACTCCTTCCACATATCAAAGGATTACACTGTCTAGTTCTATGTGATCCATACCCACCACATCTTCTATTTCTCTCTCATCCCAGTCTACATACACTTACTTTACCACTAGACACAGCTGAGAGTGCTATTGAACTATTTACTATTCTACAAACCAATACTACACTTAAAGCTCTGAGTGTGGAGATAAAGGAGGAGAGAGTATATACCAGCAGTATGGGTACTAGTCTACAAGACATGCTAACACAAAACCAAACACTGAAATACCTTGAGATTAATAATGACGTTCCCAGTTCATTCCTGTCCTTCCTAGCAACTGGTCTCAGACACAACACCAGTCTACAGCAGTTGAGTGTATCCATTCCACTGAATGAAGAGATAAGAACTTTTATTAATGTCATCTCTCAAAAAAACAATCTCACAGAACTTGAAGTGAACTTCAAACCAGATCAGTCATACAGTGACTGTAGTGAGAAAGAGAAGATACAAATAA